GAAATCCTATTACATTTATATTACTTGCATTTTATACCTTTTATTAATGCGCATTTAATAAGGAGTTGATGTAAATTACCAATGAAATATTATCAGATTATAATTAGTATCAATAGATCCTACAATTAATATTACTTTAGAAGAGATATGATTTAGTTAGTCATTTTAATTATGCTCAGGGATATAGCTATTAAACATCTTAATATGTAAAGGAATCCCAAAAATTATTCATAATTATCACATATTTTACCTAAGCGGGCCCATTCTTTTAATGAGCTAAGAATATAATCACTTATACATTGAATAATAATTAGGGTCAGAATAAAAAATTACCGGCTACGCGTTTATATTAAGTTAATACAAATTATAATTATAGCTTTTACCTATTAACATAACTTATATATTTATTAAGTTATTAATGCAATGCTATCAGCCATATTATTGAAAAATATATATAAGATATAAGTGTAAGTATTTTATATTTTAACTATTATATAATTTGTTAATGGAGTTACAATTGATTTTGAATATATCTAAACACCATATATTTCATAGACGCATTTTATATCCCGATTAAAATTAAATGTAAGGAGTAAATATATATAAATAGTTAAATACATAGGTCATGTAATATCTACGTCGTCCATAAACCAATAGAAGTTTACCGAGCAATCATTAAAATGTTTAAATTATGAACCTCTTTATTTTGATGTAAATTAATTACATATAACATTAATAGTAAACTAGTGGTGTAGGAGATTAAAACCTCTATGAAGAATAACCTAAACATACCCGTGTATGATAAATTAATATTATGTTTTAATAGCGGATCATGGTTAAATAAAGCTATCGAATAATTAGTGTAACCGTTCGACCTAGATACACTGATTGCTGATTTACATTCCATCCTACAGTCTCTTTATCCTAGCTTGTTTATTAGAGTTAATGTAATTTTATAAATGATTATAAAGAATACCTAATAAAGGAGGCAAAAATACAAAAATAGCCCAAAATTGAAATCCTAATTATAAGCCCCATGCACCGAACCTTACATAATGATTTCATAAGGCGTAGTAGCCCTCGTCATTAATGTTACCTATATAAGTAATTAATGCAATAGATATTGCAAGGGTCTTCAGGCTGACCATGACTACTATGGATTAGAATCCATCGGTTTAAGTGATTATGATTTATAGTTGAGCATGCACTTTATATGGTGATACCTATATGCTTTATCATTTATAGTTTATATTCGGCCTTTAAGATACAATAATGTTTTAACTCGAGATCATATTATAAATAATGATGAAACGTATAGTAAATTGATTTTACCGATGATTTTCATTATGTGATAAAACCTAGACCTTTAAATAGATATTCCCATTGAATTATAACATATTACTAATATAATTAGTAGCTTTTTTAAACCATATTTACCATTATGTTATAGTCTTCTAACCCTCATATATATTAGTAATATAGTAAACGCTATATACCATAATAATAAAAAATCCTACTATGAACTATAAGAAGAATTATTTGTGGCGTGAACCAGATCTAAAATATGGAGTAAAAAAAAATAGTAATCATATGGTAATTAAATTAATGATATTTATAATCTCGCACTAAAATATATTGGTTTACAGGAGATAATTATCTAAGATATCCCAATTATTAGAGTATACGACCCATTATATATGTAGTTGACTATGATAAGAAAAATATATAAAATTATCCCATAAAAAATATATAACTTCCCCCTTATAGGGATAACTAAACTTATGTGCTTAGTGTGGAGCTATATTCCATCCTAGATTGATAATTTGTCCTGATATAAAATGGAATACTAACATATGCTAATACAAAATAGTTACTAAAAGTAGGACGGATGCTTTTTAATAATATCAAAGGATTCGTAATAATAGAAAACTAAAAAAGTTAAGATATAAAATATTGTGATCCTAAATAAGTGATTTAGATGAAAATTCCTAAAATGCTCTCGTATCCGGCAATAACTCTGGCGGGCCCTATCCTAATGTATGAGGATTGTTCGTTATAATTTGGCTTTAAATATAATAACCGATGATGTAATATAATTAATTAACATACCTTAGATTATATATTATAAAGCATAAAATAATATTGAAAGATATTAAGATTATTAATAAGTGAACCGGACGATAGAAGAAAAATCGTAATAAAGATAAAGTAGAGAATAAAATATATTATGGTTTTAATATGCTTAAAATAGCATGCTTATTTTATAAAATTGAACTTAATAGAGAGTACCAACATTTAATATAGAGTACCAGCATTTAATATGGATAATACAAAATATATTTAATAATATCTAAATTTTATAGGGAGATAATAGAGTAATTAATATAATAAAGAAAGACAGATTATGAAAAGCAAATATATTTCCTTAATAAGAAGTAATATATATTTAAACAATAAATAACTCGTTTAATAATGCCAATTTAGTTGTTAATATTAATTTTAATAATAGGTATAAGAGATGAAAGTAGAGATATAGATGAAATTTGTATAGGTTGCATTAGAAGATTAGGATAAAAACCTAATAAGAACATAAAAATAGTCAAAGGTAAAAGTAAATGGAACTCTTTAAGAGTAATATCTGACCACAAAGTGGTCAAATGTGGACTAATAGAGCCATAAGAAATTTTATGAAAAAACCATAAACTATAAGCAGGTGCAAGAACAATAGCAATACTAGAAATAACTCCTACAAAAGGATTAAGATTAAAAGCAGAAAGGAAAGTAAGAAATTCACAAACAAAACCAGAAGTACCAGGTACTGCAATATTAGCTAAAGTAAAAATTAAGAAAAATACTGTAAATTTAGGCATAATAAGGACTAATCCTCTATAATATTTAATAGTTCTAGTATGATAACGATCATAAAGAATACCTATAAGAAGAAATAAAGCACTAGAAATAATACCATGAGAAATTAAGAAATAAATACTAGCACTTATACCATTCAAATCATTAGTAAAAATTGCTAAGGTAGCAGTATTCATATGACCAATAGAACTATAAGCAATCTATTTTTTCATATCCCAAAGAGCTAAACATGCTATACTAGAATAGATAATACCCATAATACATAAAGTAGCTACACCAGGTGTAAAATTTAAAGATGCAATTGGAAATATAGGTAAACAATAACGTAATAATCCATATGAACCCTATTTCTAAAGAATAGCTGCTAATAAGACACTAGCTGCAGTTGGAGCTTCAACATGAGCTTCAGGAAGCCATATATGCATAGGAACCATAGGAATTTTAATAGCCTATGCAAAAAAGAATGCCTACCATAATAGAGATTGATTAATAATAGATATTGGTTTTGTCTAAATGATTTGATAATCACTAGTTCCTGTTTCCTAGGTTATAATTAACTAAGCCTACTACTAAAACTAAGATCCCTATAAAGTATAAATAAAAAATTGATTAGCTGCATGTATTTTTCTATTTCTACCTCCATAAAAACCTATAAGAAAATACATAGGTATTAAAACACCTTCAAAACTAATATAAAATAATAAAAGATCTAATGCCATAAATACTGAATAAGACCAAAATATTATCTATAACTACATAATTATGTATATTCTATACATATCTTTACAATGTAAACTTGATCCCCATGTACTCTACTAAATAATAGGAATCTATATTGAAATCTACCATATCAAAAATAAGGAGATTCCATCCTATCCTATTTTACCTCCCTATTGAAATTGAAAAACACTGAATTTTTCTATAAATATATGTACTATTATCTAAGTATGAATTAAACCTAACTATGAAAAACCTAATGAAAGCCACAAAATTTCTTCCGTATTTTTACAAAAAGTTATAGTAAAAATTGTTATCAAAGGTATTATCTACTAAATTGTCTACATTTTTATTATTCTTTACTTAATGATATTTTATTTCTTTATGAAAATATATCTAATTTATTTTTATACCATTTTTTAGTCCTAGCTAAGATATCAGGGATACTAGGACTCGAACCTAGAATCATGGTACCAAAAACCATTGCCTTACCGATTTGGCTATATCCCTTTTATTTCTTTCCATAAATGCCAATTTAGGTGGTTCTATTATAGAATAGCATTTTCTCTTTTATTACAATAAGCACAACTTTTTTTAACACCTTTCTATTAATTATAATCCAATGATTATATGAATTAAATAACTAATTGTTGTTTACTACTACCCATCTATAATTCCGGCATTCATAATATTTTGTACTATATTTTTATGATATCCTGAGATAAAAAAGTAAATAAAGATGATGTGAATAAAATTGTTTTAACCCTAACCGTGCGTTCTGGCTTTTGTTTGAATTAAATAATAATCAGATAATAATTATTCCACTATTACATTATATTGGTAAGGAGGTTAAATGCTGATACAATTAGTTATTTAATTTACCGTATCTAATAGTAGATGTAACATTTCAATAATAATTTAACTCATTTTATGATATCTATGTTCTATACTTGCATTGTATTTATGTTAGTTGATAAAATATTGGGTTCTTGTTTTAGAAGGATCGTATTTTATCCTATTGGAATAGGTTTAATCACAGTCATCTTATATTATGCATTTTGTTCCACCATCTAACTTTCCAATCGATTAGAAGAATCTAAATCAGGTCCTCAATTTAACTAACACTCAATTACTATAACAGAGATGTATTTTAAATTATATTTAAAATTACAATAACGCGCAAGCTTGGTTCAGTTTATTCTAAATGCTGATAAATTTAGCTTGTACGAATTATTATTAAAGATAATCAATTTTATAATATCAACATCACCCTACCATCCTAGGATAAACATCAATGTGTTTTATAATGAATCGGAACTTACATAATCGCATATTTATAAACATGTAATCAATTTGTATTAGAGTTTCCAGTCAGCTCAATCTAGGATGAATCAGCAATTACAATAACATATCGCATATTTATAAACTAAAGATGAGTTGGATACCCGGTGTATTTTATAAATAACTTTGTTGAATCTGATAATGTAATAAAGATAATGGTAATAATATATAGACGGTATCGGGATGAGGATATAGTTTGTACCAGTAGGTGACGGGATTATTTTTAATGTACTTAAAATGGGAGTTGTATTTTTAATGTCAATCATTTTATTGTGTTTTTAACGATATATATCTATATTGAGTTATTATAGTATAAACAATTAAGAATAAATACCTCGTAATTTAGCCTTTGTTAATATATTCTTATAAGGCATTCCCGGACCTTTTAATAGGACCCAAATGTAATGAATTAAAGGGTAACCAATATTTAATATAATAGGCTAATAGGGAGATGGGATATAATGTTAAGCTTTATGGGAATAAGATATAACAAATTAGGAGCTATGAAATTAATAATTTCAATACGGGCCCAAATAAAGTTATAGGCTGTAAACAATTGCAATAAAATCAGTTCAGGTAGAAGATAAAGCAATAACCAAACGAAGCAAGGGTAAAGCAGGAACTTTAATCAATCATTTAACACAAAATTTTAATGCTCGTTTATTCCATAATATATCAATTATACTACATAAAGGAAAAAACTAAAAGATATGCTAAAAAGGTCTACCTTGACAAAAGGAATAAAAAAATATTAATAATAATAAACCCAACAGATAATGCAAACTAAATAATCTATTTATTGTATCACTATTTATATTACCTCCCACAAATAAATTATAATTACCTATATAGGGTATTATTGATAATAAATTACAAATAACAACAATACCCCAGTACGATTGCTTTCCTCCTACAATACTATAATCTAAAAAGCTTATTACTATTAACAACACATTTATACCAAACAACTACATCATCTTCCTAGGACTTATAACCATAATACAAATATTTATAAAAAATATAAATGATATACCTATTATGTGTATATATCTTATTATATAACCTAATCTAATTTATCGAAACTGATACAAAATTACTATCTAATAAAGATACATAATATAATGATAAGTAAATACCTGTTACAATTTTTAAGAACAATACCTACACCTAACATACTACCTATCTTGAATATATATTTCAGGTTAGAATAAATTTGGATATCCTATAAGTTATTATTAAATAATAAACCCTTTTTTAGTTGTATATTCATCTTATCTTTATTAATGTTATTATATTTATTGAGCTATTTAAACCTGAAATACTTATAACCAATAAAATAATGTTATATGCTGGAAGACTCTTTTTACGATAATCAGCAACTTTTCACATAAAATTTAGCATCATCTATATGATGGCATTTTTATTTTACTTATTTATATATTAACATAAAAGTCCAAATAATATTAAACTATTTGTTATTCCAAATAAATATTGTTTATCAAGATAATTCTAATATAGATGAGGAAACTTTACATCCTTAAACTTAAGAAACCTCTTTATTAACATATGTTTACTTTATATAATAGGATTATAGGTATACTGTCTGTATATTACTATTAGTGGTAGTAAATGCATTTACGTTAAATTTAGTAGTTAAACTAGTTCGTATTATAATTAAAATTCTAAAATTAACGATTAAAACTAAAATGTATATGATAATAGCTGTTTATAACCATTTTGAGCATAAAGTTGATTTTTAATACATAATTTTAAACATATATGCATAAAAACCTTTTTAATAATTATTTTCTATTTGGTTGAGATCATTCTATTGTATATCATTTTGTTTTATTCTTAGTTTTAACTCATTATATTGCTTTAAAATAGTAAAATTTATTATTGAGAAACATTGTAAATATTTGTTATTTTATATTCTTATATTTAAATCTTATTAATTTTATTAGTAGGGTCAATATATAAAATGTTGATAATTAAGAACATTGGCCATCTAACCTTGTTTTTAAATAATTATTCAGAATATTATTATGTATATGATTATAAATACTATAAATAACATAAGGAACAGTTTTAGGAAGATGAGTATTAATAAGGAGATAATTTATTCAACTATTTGAACCAAGATGGTTTTAATTTAATAATAGAAGATTGATTAGATATAGTTTATACTTTAAATTTATATAATTTTTAAAGTAACTCAAAATACTACACATAAATTAAAAAAGATCTATAATATTATATTTATGAAATATATTGTTATATTTGGAGTTATTATTTATTAGATCTTTAAAAGCCTTTTAGAAAAGGAACATAATCAATATTACTAGTAAAATCATTCTTAAATATATAAATAATACTAATCAAAAAGAAAACCTTCTTCATAAAGTTCCATATAAATAGGTTTAGATCTATTCATAAAAGATGCCAATTTAATATAAACATTAAGACTAAAACGTTTAAATATTTAAATATAATAATATATTATTATGTTCCTATCTAAATAAATATTTAAGACATTTAATTAAATGATTTACTTTATTTATTCTATTTATTCCAATTATAAATAGTATAACGTCCATATTTATCTTTATAAAAAGGTGTACCATTAATAAAGATAAGGTGCCCTACATAAAGAGGTATTAAAAATAAGTTGATTATAATTATCTGGAGTAATTTGAGTTAAAATCCCATAATTACACAATAAATAACCTTTAGCAAAAGAAAATATAAATTGTTTATTTAATACATCAAGTTTAAGAATCGAAGTATTATAAACATGAATAAACCTAAAAACTGTATAGGGAATATTTTGCATTTTAAGCAGGACATTATACCGAAATGGAACCATAAATATGCATATCCCCCCGATGCAACTAATTATAGCCAAAAAGAATAGCCAGATTGGAATGAAGTTCCATAGAATAGTTATGTTTACCTACTTGATAACCCTCCCTAATAATGATACTATCTAAAGATAGAGATGAATTAGAAAATGCGATACAATTAATTGTTCTTGTCTACCATTACAATGATTGGTTAGTTAACCAATCAGCATTATATAAATTTAGTTTTTGTGTGCGGCTAATTATAAAGTAATATCTTATTTATAAAAAATCACATGTGCCATAGTTAAACCACTACAACATAATTACACATTGATTAATGAGAACAACGCAAAATAGTAAAATTTATTAAACGCAATTTTGAGATAAGGATCATATAGGAAATATAAAATCATATTTATATTGTTCATATATTTTATAATAGTTTTATTCCGTTCAGGATATACAGATGGATAATCATAATCTTGTTTTATATAAATTGAGGATACCTTGTCTGCAGGAGATAATACTCGATAATAATTATTGGTGGTATATTAGTTTTTATGGTAGAGGTTTAACAATTAAAATTTTGTTTAAGATGCTATGTGTGAAGACTGTGATGATTAAATCATAGGCGTCAAGTTTATAGAGGTGGTAGATCGTTGGGATGATCCAAAGATGAACAAAAATGTAATATTGAAAGAGATGAGGAGATTATTGGCGTGCAATTACATCATGTTCATAAATATTGAGGCAGTATATCTTCTTAGGTAAAAGCAATTAAGTTATTTCTGATAATCTAATTTTTATTTTTCTGACCGATAGTTTTTTGTAATCTCCTTTATATTTATTATAAGATTTAATATAGCTATATTAAAAATCCTTCCACTTAGTACGTTCCAGCTATCTAACATTAAATATAAGCCCTATAATAAAGTAGTGTAAATTATAATGGTTTTTATTATATCTAATTATAAAGTGTCCCTGGTCGCCTCGAACCAGAGTATCAAGTATATAAGTATCTTTTACATTGCGCATTTTAGTATAATACCTCAGTAAACTTGGTGTTACTGAGATGGAGGGTTCGAATTAACCTTTAACTACCAGGATAGTATAAATACATTGATATTAGATGGAAGGGGCAGCATTTTCTAATCTGACACTATTAATAGGGTAATATAATTGTCTGATAATATTATTCGTAACCTCCGTAGGAAACCAGTGGACCTAATAAAATCTTTCCGGAGTAAAATTATATGGCTCGATAATAATAGCACCCCTGTTAATAGGGGGGCAAAATACCAGCTTACGCGCTTGCGCGCTATTAAA